TAGATTCCATGGAACTTGAGATCTCTTCACTCACGGACAAATTCGCATATTCCATTTTGAAATATGCCCATTTGCACACTGATGCGAAAATATTTAGCGATTTTTATCTTTCATCTTGATTTTTGAGTTAAAACGTAATATGCACCTATCGCTTTTTTCGTCGGAAATAAGTTCTTTAATTAGTCTTCTTTCACTGGAGCTTGTTTTTGGAAAAGATGATTTTTAAAAATTTACTGCGGATTGTATTTGCTTTCTTGGTCTCTCCAAATTTTGACTTTTCACAGGCACGTGTTACACGTAAGTGTCAACGGGTTTAATCTGTATTAAATGAATTTTTGGCTAAAAATTTTATAATATATTTAAAGAAATTTTATTGCAAAATTTCAGCTTTGAAGTTTTCAGAAGCGTTGTTTTCGTGCTGATTTTGGTAACTTGGCAGAGAATCAGTCCAATACCCACTGTTTATTCATATCGTCTAGCTTTGTTTTTTTTTTTTTAATTATTACCATTTTTTTCCTCAGACCTGCGCGGTTTACTAGATTTGAGAAACCGACGGAGCGCTAGAGCGCTTTTCACCTCGCCGTGGTAAGCGTCACTATTTTTAACACTGGTAAAATTACAGTGATGAAAACGCTCTATCACATGTCTCGAATGTAATAATTTTCAATATATATAGATGTTGTCTCGACTGAATACTATCAACCAGCGTTCTTCTTGCTATGTCGCTGTGAGATCAACTGCATGTAAGTCACCACAGACAGCTATTTGCGCTGTTGGCCGTATTCATCAGCTGTGACTTAACATTTCGGTCCTCGGTGCTCTGAAAAAATGCTTCCCCGACGGTCCGCTGCTGTACGGGTCTACCTGTATTGTCTTTGTTGACTGAAGGTATCCATGCTCCGGAGATACTTATTCAGGAAAAGCTTAAAAAAAGCTTTCAATTGGTAATCTTCGATCTGGTCTGTTACAGGACTGAAGCGTTTATCTTTATTTGTGTCAACTGACCCCAGCTTTAATTTCGTCAGAACTGAACTTACATACGAGAGAATTTTCTTAGCACTGAATAGAAACATAAACAAGTTAATCTGGGAACGAGGTCGTCCAGTTAGAGAACTTAACGATAACCCAATATTGTCTTGTTTTTTTTTTTTTTTTTTGAGCGTGAACAACAAAGAAATTATGACACAGGATAGAGTTTACAGCCGTAGTCTTGCTCACTAATTTTCTGTCGACTCAGCACATTCTCGTTGCTGTTCTTATCAAGTCTACTTTCAAGTCTTTACTCTTTTGCTGAACTTGCTAATCAGCCAATCGCATTAACTTTTATAATTAGCGGTTTTTTTGCTGTTGTATTTATACTGGCGTAAGTATCAAGAAATTGCAAAATCGGTCAGACTGTTTTTCATGAGGTAGACAATGAAGTCTGGAATACGAACAGCTTTCTGAAGAACGTTTCTCCAACTCCGGAAAAGTTAAAAGGTTTTTTATTTGTTTAAAGAGACTTTCTACTGAATAGCTATAAGCATTTACTTTTGACCGCGAAAGTTGAAGTTCATGTGGAGTTAGTTGCACGTCAAATTGTATATATTGTTCTCACAAATTTCAGCTAGTATAGTTTGCCGATCACCCGGTTGTATTCCTATTTTGTTTACCGTGAAATGTACCTAGGGTTTTAGGGATTCATTACAGAAGACAATAGTATCACAATGTTCGTCTTACACTTTTACACTTTTCACCCGTAGAACTGATACATGCTGTATTTTCAAAGGGGTGCTAACAAAGATAATTAACAAAACAGAAAAATTGGAAGAGAGAGAGGAAATATTCTAATAACGTCTTGTCAGTTATTCGTTGTTGATCATTATTTTTGTTAAAAATTATCACCTCATTCTTCTCGCCTACTCATTATTCAGCTCGAAGTAAGACGTTCTCGTTAGAACCTGAAATTAACAGCTTAACAAAGAGAGATATTTTATTTATGAAAAGCAAATATATTACGTTTCAAGGAAGTTAAATAACGCCGATCATTTTCTACTTTGCATAAAACTCGACTGAAACATCATAAAACGAATGAAACAAATTATGAATAAAGTACAGGTGTATTTACTATTCCTTCATACTTTTATCAATGAAATCAAGTTTACGATTATTTTTCTGAGTACTTTTGGACAATCAAAAATGAAAATTCATGAAAACACAACTTAAGTTTGAATAGATGGACAACTTTTTCGAAAAAAGCACGCTATTTATGGGTACCTTCTCAATCGGTTTTTCTTTGTTTTTTTTTGTTGTTTTTTTTTTAATCAAGCCAAGTTTCCTTCCTGTCGTCTTTAAGAGAACCTTTACTGTTACTTTTTACTTGTGTTTTACTGAGCTTAACTGAAATTTCTGCTGACATCTGTTTGAAAGTGAAGGTCACATTTCTTAACTGGCTTCAGTATTTCTTTGCGTTATTTCTCTTACGTGTGCACTAAGCTGAATACAAAAATATCTTTGTCGCTGCTGTCGTCAGAATGACAATAATAACAATTTGTTTGAAATTCAGTGGAGGACATGAGTTCTGTCCTGCTGTTATAATTTCACGGTGACCTCATTTTAGATCATTTTACAGTCAATATTATCTGCTAAGTACTGGTCAAATTGCACCCTCTCGTCATTATTTTCTATTCTAGAGAAAATTCGTATTGAGGAGCCCGCCGCTGGCGCTACTTAATAGCTTTTTTGACCTCATCTCTGCAGGAAAGTTCACAGAACATCACAGCGTGTTACAAATAGAGACTGAAGCTGTTTCCTTTTTGACGGTCGACCCACAAAGCCACATACTATATAATACCACTGATTCATATCAATGTTATTAGGCAAATAATATACCCCGACCATTCACAATACTTGATTTCGTCACGTGAGTAGCAGGTGCTTGACTGGCACAAAGCAATTGATTATAATGCAGACCGAGTACTTACCTATTCTTTTTTAGTCTTACAAAATATTCTTTCCTGCTTTATTATTTTTTCTGGTTACTGCTGTGCTTGAACTACCGTGATTTACGATTTGAAATTTTCGTGTATTTTCGTTCGTGAGTGGACATCTCCGTTGACTGAGGCTCGACTTCTTAATACCGAGTATGGTCTGGATCTATAATTTCGTATTACACGTGTTAGGTGGGTAGAGTAAACCAAACTAAGGTTTATTTTAAAGCGCCTGTGATTTACATTTTGATCTTCTCACCGGGTCTGTTGTAAATAAATTTAACTGATCTAAGACATCAAAAGTTGCACCATTTGTATTAACCGCAGTCAAATTAAAGCGCTTTGCTGTCACTTTTGAATACGGTAAGCTAATATGTTTTCTTCGGTAACCACAATTCGGTTCTTTTCGCCCGCGAGCTATGAAGGTCTTTAAGACTATTTTTAACTGGCAATTCAGGTAAATTCAGGCATATTTCTTTATGTACCTAATGACAGGCGTTTCGCCATGTCTCATGCTAATATAAACTTTTATTTTTTCGTTTGTTTTCAGGGACCAATCGAAGCAAGAATAACTAATTTTAACCAACGACATTTTGTTGGATGTTGTGTTTTGTCTGAAATTTGCTGCTTGTGTCGCCGGTAAATTTGGCCAGAATTTGTTGCCTGTGGCTGCCGCATAAAATAAAGACGGGCAGAGAGAAAACAGCTCGAGTCCAAAGTTGACATTTCAAGGAAATAACGCCATCTCCTAGACTACTACATACAAAACGGAGAAATAGGAAAAGTACGGCAGTGAAATCGCGCGACCTTTCCGTCCTCGTTTGAAAGTACGAGATGATAAACATATCGCTTTATCTACTGACCCTTCATATGGTTAAATGTCTTATTTTATGAACCTCGAGGGGATATGGCTAGATATCAAAACTTTCCGTGCGTAGCTAGGCACATTCACAAGAGATATTCAACTGGAAATCCAAACATATACAACCGCCTTTGTGGCCGAAGCCCTTCGTCTTCAAGGTTGGTAATTGCTTGCGTTTGACAGTTAACATCTTCTCAGCTGTGAGGATTATCCGCAGCTGAGGGACACAAGCTAGATAAGGTATGCAACGCGAAGAAAAGCAAAACGCCGAGCGGCCTTCTCGCGAGGACGAAGCCGAGAAGATACGAAGCAATCCAAGCTTGGTAGAGGAGTGCAAACTGACTAGAAGGAGTGAGCCTCGATATGAAACTGAGATTGTAAACGTCGATGAAAGATATGATATGTTTCAAGGATTCATGCCAACCGCTTTCTTTTTCCTTCATCGCGAAAAACGTCCAAGACGATGGTTCATTCGCCTTGTTACATGGCCATATCCTTTTACACTTTTAAAGTAATGATCTTGATATTTATAGGGATAGCTTTTCATGAGATTTCTTGCAGGTTAAAACTCTTGGATTGTCTAGTATCTTTCGGAGGCAACGTAATACAAACTTTATTTAATGTTTTTTTCTCCCACAAGGGACATCTTTAATCGGGTTCCCTTATCTGGTTATTTTTTTTTTTATCGTTGATATACATTGTTTTCCACGAAGTGTTTTGAGTCATAAATTTAAATTTTTACATGAAACGAATTTAAAATTTTAATTTTTCATTTTCAGCTATGTCTAGATTGAAGTGTTCACTTTAATATGGCAAACTGATCAACTTGCTATTTTCTACAGAAGTAAGTCAGTCATCGGTTTCAGCATTTATCATTTAGGAACATTTTCCTTGATTTTGCCTTAAAGAAGCTGACAACATTATTCATGATGTCTTGCAAATTTTTCCTGTCTGGCTTCGACCTAAGTCACTTTCTAGGCCAAGCAGTTTCTAAATGATATATAACTATATAAATGCTATCCGATATCATCTATTGAAATTTTTTAATGCTCCTAAAAGCGGTGAAAGTCTTTTTTCACTAATCTTATTCACGGATCTGTAATTAATTCATTTTGTCCACTCAACTGTGGTTTTGAGATGGACTCGCAGTCAGGTCCTTCTTCATTCTGGAATATCCCAAAATTTATAAAAGCTGTCAGTGAAAACTACGCTTATACTGAAGTTCGTGGAAAAAAGGATAATTTGTCCTTTTGTACATCAGACAATTTTTGTTGAAAGGAAACGTACATGATTTTTTAAAATTCTCTTCAATTTGAAATGTTTTCAAAACAATGGTATGTATTACTTTAATACCTAATGGTGTTAAACGTGGCCTACCGATCTTTTGAATGCTGCACAATGAGCATTATATACACATTTGAAGTCATTCGTTCTTTTCCGCCAGTATTACCAGAAGCTGAAATACATTACTTTTCACAAGACACGATATATTCTTCCTTTTCGATTGCGATATTCAGATCGTTCTTAATTTTTGGTGATGATATATATTATTATTCAAAGCGGTGGTTGCTGCATGTCAACTTGCTGTTAGAAATTTGAATGAAATTTAAAATATTCAATTGAATAAGAAAAATAAAGATGTCTAATGCATTATTTTTCACCTGTGGTGCGTTAACCATGAATTAATATTGAAAATTTTTGTAGACCATTTTGCTTCCAGAATTCCGTATATAGAATGAACTCTCAAGGCTTTGGTAGTATGTAGAATAAAGAGAAAATATTTTCTTTTTGTAGAAATGGTTATTACGAAAAGGGAGTGAGGAGATTTTATAAATATGATTATAAATTACAAATTTCCATGTGTTGAAAGTAATTAATAGGAAACTATTAGAAGTTTCTTTTGAAACTGTTTGTGAGGCAAGACTTTGCAATTGCCAAAGTTCAGAGGATGGCTTTTCATTGAGATTAGAGACACTTAACGACTTTTACCGAAGGAACATTGCGTATTACCACTATTGTTCTTAGAAATCGGTTTGCGTTAGGCGACGGTAATAGATACACTTCGCTGTCGAAGAGCTAAGCTTTTGGCCACTGAAGTTCTTGGAACTAACTTCGTTAGCTAGCATGGATGATTTTTGTACCAGCAAACTCTAACTTCCATATTGATATACTGCAACTAATTGTTTGATCAGTATCGTTTAGTCAATAGGATCCTCAAGGTTTCGAACTCGCCGACGTAGTGGTGGTTATCCGGCGATAGCAAAAAAATTTTTTTTAGATGTAGATATATAATTCTTTGTAAAATGAAATCTGCTTTCTAAAATGAAATCAATTAGACTTTACGACGTTAAAATTCTGCAAGATGATCAAAATGACGAAAATTTATTTTCCGGAAAATTCGATGTAAGACACAGGTTGCATAAAAAAGAACCACTTAGATACTTAGATCTGCATATTTTCTGTAATTGCTGCGAGAAATAACTTAGTGTGTAGACTTGGTGTGTGGAGTTATAAAAGTAATGGGTAACTCAAAGTGTCTCCTAGAAACCAATGCCAGCTGCATATGACAATTGTAATATGGCTGCGCTTAAATTCGTAAACCTTTGTTTGTGTTCAAAATTTACATATTCGTTAAATGAGACTTTCTTTTAATTAGTTCGTCTTTACACAGCAAGACATTAGCTTGACTTGAAATAACAACAGTTTAAGGTTACCGTGCACCTTCAGGGGTGTCTCGCGTGTTAGCGATGTAGCGCGTCCGGTTTAAACTGTAGATATCTAAACCCCTATATCAAATTAAAGCTTATAGGATTGGCCATCAGACTATACAAGAAATTAAAAAAAAAAACGAATTGTCGAATTTTTCACGACTTCTAAATGCGAGCGCCCGAATCACCTTTTAAGAGCTACAAGTCAAAGGGAATTTGTTTTATTGCCCTCAAATTTTGACAGTAGCTAGTTTTACATATAAACAACAAAAACATGTCTCCGAATTTTTTATTTCTAAATACTTGTTTTTTTTCAAGAGCGATTTTTGTACAATCAATCCACATTTTTTTAATCCTATTTCAAAAATGTTCTGTAACTTTTCACTGAAATTGAAATGGCAAATCGCAGACAGGTTTTTTTTTGGCGCTTTGGCCCCGGAAACGGAGGAACACATTAAATAAGCGATGAACAAAATTCGTTTTGACATGTAACGTTCAAAAGGTGATTGGGGCGCTCGCATTTAGAAGTCGTGAAAAGTTCGACAATTAATTTTTTTTCAAAACTTTTTGGTATAGTCTGATAGCCAGTCCTATAAGCTTTAATTTGATGTAGGGGTCTAGATATCTACAGTTTAAACCGGACGCGCTACATCGCTTGCAAGCGAGACACCCCTGAAGATGCACGGTAACCTTGAGTCAATGAGTTTTTGGTACTGACGCATGAAGGGTAAATTGTCAGGGGACTTGTTCATTAACGTCTTATTTGGACGTCCATAATATATTTTTCTTCAAAATCGATAAATCAAGCTTTGAGTCCAAGTTTTATATCCTTAGTCTGATAATGATGTTTTGTTTTTTTGTTTTTCTTCTTTTGTTTGTTTGTTTGGTTTTTTTTTATCGATGTTTCAAAACCGAGAATGCAAGGAAACATGCCATTATTTTTTTTTCCAAAACCAGACTGCATTAAAATTTCATTGGGAAGAATTTTCAATTTTTCCAAATCGTGACAGATTATTCAGTACATTTTGTTTTCCTAAAATGTTTAAAACTGACAGCAGGAAATCAAAACCTGCTGGCTTTAAAAATAAACATAGCTGTTACTGTAAATGCCCACAAGTGACTTTTTGCGGTAAAAAATATATTTTAGAAACAGGTCGATCGTAAATATTGGATCTTAGTAGCTTCATAACTTGCTATTAATATTATTATTACTATTATTATTATTATTATTATTATTATTAGTTTCTTTTTTTTTAGATAATTTGTTAGTCGACATATCATGTATTTTTCGATTTTTAAGTATTTTATCTTAATTTGTTTGTAAATAATTTTGATGATTAGAGTGAATTTTCGTTATCATGGTGTGTATTCTCTAGTTTTTCTTACATTTTTATTGGACATTTTAACAAATTTTTTCCATTTTCAAGCATTTTATCGTAATTTTTGTCATAACTTTTTGTGATTATGGTGAATAAAACGATTATAATCTTTTTTTAAAAATATATTATTATTATTATTATTATTATTATTCTTTTCCCTTAACATTCTGTAATTATTTTGAGCGGCTGAGTATCTTAGTGATTCTTATTAACTGCGTCACATTGGGATTGTATGATCCGTTTGACCCGGAATGCCAAACACAAAGATGTCAGACTCTGGACGCCATGGAAAAAGTTATATACACATTCTTCTTAGCGGAAATGTTATGCAAGTGGATAGCCATGGGACTGTTCGGAAAGCTGGCGTATTTTGGCGATGCATGGAACCGTCTAGACTGCTTTATTGTAGCTGCAGGGTAAGAAACTCATTTGTACACGTTAAATTAAGTTTATTCCTTAATATTCAAATGTGATTTTTTTACCGGGTATGACTGACCCAGTGATCGCGTCAAGCGTGGAGTCTGGATCGAGAGTACCAGCTTGGTTCCCGTTCGGGTCATTGTGGTGTGTTCTTTATCACAATGACTTTTATTCCAGTCCCTCTCTTCATCCAAGGGTATAAAAGGATACTAGCATCCCATTCAGGTCGGAGAGCAGCGGTACTTCGGGTTGCCTCATGTTACGAACACCGGAATATTCTTCAGCAGTTAGCTCGTAGCACTTAACCTTCTATGGCACGCTGACAGAAAATGATAAATCGCGCACCTTACTTTACCTCAAGAATTTTGTTTATACTCATGCCTTAAAATATTTATCTTTTTAAGAACGTTCGAATTGCTGTACAACAAAGGAGAATATCTGAGCGCTGTTCGAGCCATTCGCGTCCTCAGGCCTCTGCGTGCCATCAACAGAGTACCAAGTAAGTCGATATCAAATTGAGTTGTGCCCAGGTTTCTGTGACAGAGCCTCCATCTTCTAGGATGGCTTTCCTTTTCGATTTTCCAAATTTCCTGTGGTATATCACATTTCACTTTTTTTACCAACTAATTCAGATAAAAAGAAGTCTCATTTGATCTTTTTCTTTTCAGTTTTGGTTCAGCAAGTATTGTTGTTATTTTTATCAATTTTTCTCTTATCATTTACAGGCATCAGAATTCTTGTGACGTTACTTTTAGACACCTTACCAATGCTGTGGAATGTCTTGGCCATTTGTTTCTTCATATTTGCCATATTTGGTATCGTTGCTGTTCAGTTGTGGAGAGGCGCCCTGAGAGGAAGATGTTTCCTTGATTTGCCACAAGGCGTCTCACAAAATAGGTTTGTTTTTTAACAAATGGTAAACACCACAGCGTACACTATTGAGTTATGGATGCACGCCGGAGGTTTCTAAGCACGAAAGAAGCGTAAGAGTCGCTCGAGGCGATAGCCGAGAGCAACTCTAGCTTCTTGAGTGCTTAGCAAACCTCCCAAGTCCATCCATAACTCAATAGTGTATGCTGTGGTGTTTACCATTTGTTTTATAACATAACATTGATACATTGTAGCTAAAGAGTTCCCTTTTATTTAACAAATCTTACGTGATCAGAAAAAACAAGCGCGCGCGGAAAAATAGTCTTTGCATTTGCTCACGTCAGCAGCGTACACCCGTGGGAAAATGGGGGACGATAAATTGACCAATCAGAGCGCGCGCTTTGCTTTGGTTATGTTATAATCTCAATTGGTCACTTTACAAGCTGTACAGTATACGCATCATTTGCAAGATAGGTCATTTGACTTTAGAAGTTCTTGACATGTATGATTCGACATAAAGATATTTAACACAATTAGCATTTTAAGCTAAAGACATCGACACTTAGATTAAGTTGTTATGTTGTTAGGTTATCAAGTTAGAGTGTGTTTTTCCAGCCAAAGCAAATGACGCAAAACAGGGCAATAAGTTCATTGCACAATCATATGGTTCCTCCTATCGGGGGACTCCTGAGGAACAAGAAAAGGTTATAGGAATCATTTTTATCCCGGTATGGAATCAGTCTTCAGTCCACTGAATAGAGGTGTGTCAACGGAGGGGTACCACCCCAATTCTCGCCATCATACCTCAGCTAAGTTATGACACTTGCTTAGAAGTATTGCCTGTATAGATTTTTTTCCCCTCCACATGTATCGGCAAAAGCTGTCGTCGTCAAGTTTGATCTTAGCAATTAACAATTTGTTGTGTTCCTGTACCAAATCAAAATTGTATATATCATTTTTTCCTCTTCAGTTCCAACTTAACTGATTTCTACATCCCTTCATTCGACAAACCTGATTTTGTATGCGCCGTGGATGGTGTACCAGGAATGCAGACGTGTATCAAAGAATTCATTCCAGCCTTGAAGAATGAAAACAGAGAATGTTCACTTAACTATGGAGGATTTATGAATCAGTCGAGAAGATCGAATAATTCAAATAATTGTATAAACTGGAATCAATATTACACAGACTGCCGGAAGAAGGGCGATAACCCTTCCTGGGGAGCCATTGGGTTTGATAATATTTTCATTGCCTGGGTGGCAATATTTCAGGTTAGTGGCAACGTCTAATTCCTTCTTGAAAATTGTCTGTACTTTAAGCATCAACGCATAAAATTCAAAAGGAAGAACTAGGTTTTATTTACGCTGGTAGGATATCATTGAAAATTTTTATACATTTTCAAATGACATCTTATTGTAAGGGCACAATCTTCCTTGCTTAGCAATTGACGTGTGTTACGTATTTTGTACCTCATAAGGTTTGCCAAGTCTCCTCGTTAAAAAAAGCTGGCCTGTCGGTTTTCTGACACGTCAAGGAGTTCCTTGTCATATTTTTCTACTAACGCTGCCAGACTAATCTTGTAGCCTATGTTATGGTTCCCATCACGAGTACAAAAAAAGGGATTTAGTCGCATTCATTTCTTCGAAAATGACGAGCAGTCCTTCGGGGGTTATTTCGAATTCGAAAATGTAACTTCACTGTATGTAAATCATTGCTAGTCAGAACCCCTCCAAACTTGTCGTTTTACTGCAGGTAATTACACTGGAAGGCTGGTCAGATATCATGTATTATGTGCAAGACGCCCATGGATTTTGGAATTGGATTTACTTTGTGATTCTTATTGTGGTAAGTATTTGATAAAAGCATACTGCGAAGGTTACCCACAATCCTAGATGGACGTTACGAAAGGAATTCTCCATCCTCTTACTATTTTCACCTTCAATTGATTATGTTGGAAACAATAATGTTTCAAGAGGAAAACCACTCGCCAGGGCAATTTCACTGAGTGGGGCCATTGAAAATTGAAGGCTTCAATTATTAAAGCTTACGAAAGGGAATAAATTGTCAATTGTATCTTGGAAAAACGTGCCAGTGATGCTTTCCTTTATTTTTCAGATTGCTTCATATTTTATGACTAACTTATGTCTAGTCGTCATAACAACGCAATTTCAAGAAACTAAACAACGCGAAAATGAACTTTTACGCGAGAGTCGGCGGCGAGAGGGGACTAGCACTAGTACAATAGCGAGCAGCCGATATGGAAAAGATGGCTGCTGGGTGGAAATACTTAGATATGTGGAGCATTTAATCAGGAGGTTTAAACGAAGACTTTATAAGCGATTTCATTGGAAATATTGCGATGGTGGAAGTAAAAGGAAAGCTTCCAGACACAGGAAACGGAGACGAAGAAAGAAAAAACTCGTCTATCATCATCATCATCACCACCACCATCATCACCATTATCATCATCACGTGCACTGCACTGATCCAGACTGTCCATGTAGTAAAGTGGCCCCGCAGTTTTCGGTTCATCCCGGAAGCGCCGACGCCACACCGAACACATCCACAGTGGACATTCAGCCGATTCAATCAAAAGACGTTCAACCATCGAGTAATACTTTGACGGTGCCGGGACAAGTCCCAAGCAACGGGACATCGGGACGAGAAAATGACAACGGGAACGGGAAAGGAAAGATACCAACCATTTCAATTATAACTGGATCGTCCTGCTCTGTGCGGAAAGAACCTTCGTCGTCCACGCGCGGGGGTGAAATGATCACAACAGCAACTGCTGCGGTAGCTATCAATGGGAAATCTGCTGTGGCTGACATGGCAACCCACACTTTCTTGTCAGCGGCCTCGCTCTCAAGCGCAGCCGCAACTGCCACAGCCAGCGCAGCCGCAGCTTCAGTAATACATAATGTTTGTTCATGCGCAGTAGAACACGTGGAGGAGGATATAAAAGTGGATTATGAATCTGAGTGTGTTTATGAGGAAGATGGTGGCAGTGAAAGCGAATTTACAGACGATGAAGTCGACGAGGAAGAACATGGAAAGGACACCGCATGCTCTCGACTTCGTCAGGTTTGTCGAAGAAGTGTGGACAGCAAATGGTTTATGTATATCATAATGGCGGCTATCTTCTTGAATACGCTCAGCATGGGTATCGAGTACCACGGGCAGGTAATAAATTGTTTGATATAATAGGTGTTCAGTTACATAAAGAGCCAGAGACGCACGTGCATGAAAACTGTACGCAGAAATCTCACTAATTGATTGACAATCACTCACCGATGAGGGCGAATAGTGGTGGATGTGTTTATGAGGCTGCTTTGCGGCGAGGAAAAGATTTACTGCTTTTCGCCTCCACTTTGGTGAATAACTGTTTAATATAGAACATACAGAAATAATAAGACGACCGTAATTTCTGTCTATATATGGAGCAATGGTCAACATTTGAACTTTTTACTCGCGACTTTGTCTCTTCGGTCGTTTGGAGGCGAATAGTACTTGTTTACTTCCGAACAAGCCACTCAGCGCTCGTCAAAGCTCTTTTTATTTGTGCGTAATATGCTGTGTACTCATTTCAGTTTCTTTTTTTTTTTCTTTCTTAGCCTACAAAGATGACACATGTGCTAGAAATTTTGAATCACATCTTCACGGCCATATTTGGTGTTGAAATGCTGCTCAAGCTGGTAGGCATGGGTCTCTATGGTTACATCAAAGATCCTTTCAACCTGTTTGACGGTTTTATCGTTATCATGAGGTCAGTGCTAAAACTTCTTAAATTTGTCAATTCTTGTTTCTGTCTTTGATAAAAACAAATGTCAAAATAGGTGGATGCTCAAGAAAACAATACTGGCAGATCAAAGTAGATAAAAAATTTGAAGTAATAAATTTAATTTTTTTTTATTTTGGAAAGAACAACGCTTATTTAGGCAAAAACGTGATTTTGATAAAAGGTCAGGTCCTTAATTATATAGCTGAAAAAGAAAAAATGAAAAACTGAGAGCTTCCTCGTTAAACTTAAGCATTTTTTTTCATCCTTTCCTCAGCATCGTGGAGCTATTTGGTGTCGGTGACAGTAATATATCAGTTCTGCGGTCATTTCGGCTGTTGCGCATATTCAAGCTGGTCCGTTTTCTACCAGCCCTCAGACGCCAGTTACTTGTGATGATCCACACAATGGACAATGTAGTGACATTTCTGGCTCTTTTAGTACTCTTCATTTTCACGGCCAGTATCTTGGGTATGAATCTTTTCGGAGGCAAGTACATGTTCCGGGATGAAAACGGAATTTACAGCGCGGCTCGAGCAAATTTTGATGATCTGTTCTGGGCACTGGTAACTGTGTTTCAGGTAAGCCATTTTTAAAACCATCAAACAGTAGTTAAAAATCAACACCATTGTCGATCCAATAACATGCAGAATCCTGCGTTTTCGCAGTCTCCTCCGTGAGTTTGAGATTCTTTGTCAATTTTGTTTTTTAACGATTTTTGTGTATGTTGAAGAGATTTTGTTTTAATTAAACGCCATGAGAAAAAGAAAAAACTTCTAGGCAATCAAATGCATAAAAAGAATATGTTTATGTTACTTTAGTAAGTCAAAGTTGTTAGAGCATGTCTTACAATTGGCTTCAGATGCCGACAGTGTGAACTTTTGTTGGCTGAGAAACAGCTAAACACGTTTGTTTGAATGTGCTAAGAATATATGAGAATCATGTATTTGAACGGCGGTTACAGAAACGAATATGAGAACGATCTTCGCAGTGAGGAGCACTGTTGTCTGCAGCAGCCTTGAAGTAAACGCAGCGCTACTCTTTTTGCGTCCTTCTGCTGCATTTGCACCATTGTCATCATATGCATATTACAAACAGCGTCATAGATTCTCCATTTTATTCTCGCATCGTTTCATTGCTTAATGTTTCTGCTAAACAGGTTCTTACGCAAGAGGACTGGAACACAGTCATGTATGACGGCATGAGAGCCACTACTAAGTGGGCAGCTTTGTACTTTATTCTTCTGATGACCATTGGTAACTACATTCTCTTTAACTTATTGGTAGCTATCCTGGTTGAAGGATTCGCTAATCAGCCGGTAAGATCCAGTATTTGCTTCCCACAGATATTTAAGACGATTTTTAAATTGTTACTTTCTCTTTGTCACTTTGTGTTGACTCAAGTCATTCAAAACTCAATGTAGCTCAATTTAAAATGATTTTCATGACACGAACGACGATTATGAGCGCGCTAAAACTCGACTCGAATGACTCTGGTACGAGTCCGTTTCATCGAGTTGTTTCATATGAAAGACACTCGATTTTTACTCTGCCCCTCTTTGGCAAGTTCTCGTCACCCAGAAATATAAATTGATATCAACAAACTTTTATTCTCGAATCCTGACGAAGCCTGAATTGTATCAGTTCAGTTCTATCTGTTTTTTTTAGACCACGTGTGAGGGTCATTTTCTTATATTTTATCCCCCGCAGGTCTAAAATATGATTTATTTTAATAAATTGGGAGTACCATCACTATTATCGCGATTTAAGGCTCAATAAAAAAAAAACAAAACTATCTCTTCGTTACCAGGAAAAGACTGGAAGCACTTGGAGCTTAAAATCACGAAGTTCAAGCTCAAGAAACAATGGGGACTATGAAACTTGCAGGGAAGTATCCTCGTATCCCATGACTACGCCACGGGTTTGTGTGAGCCGCATACCATCCCCTGAAGATGCGTTACATGGACACTATCATGAACCAGACGAGCCAGTTCAGCATATACGCTGCTCATTCCCGTCTCTGTCACCTAAATGTTCGCTCTTTAGAGATGTAAGTCAAGTTTATTTTATTTTTCTTTAAGATCGTATATTGTATTACAGGAACGATGAACCTCCTAAAAGTCGCCTTCATGGCTTTTCATGTTTGGCTCCGTAGCTTAGTTGGAAGTGGCGCGCATTTAGTATCTGAGGGACATGGGTTCAAGCCTCGTCGAAGCCTGCATTTTTATGCAATTTCTGTAATTGCAGCTCACCCGCGAAGTTCATTTCTTAACTCGTAGATCGTGTATTTTTTGACAAATGTTGATATTCGAAGGTGCAAAGAGGGAAAAAGAAGACCCTCATTCCGCTGATAACGTCTCACTTTTGCTTCCTCTCCTGCTATGCCATCCTGTAACTCCCTCTTAGCTAGCTCACGTTTCTCTTACGTGGCTAAAAAATAAGCGGAAGAGACTGCAGCACGGGCTGTTCATGACGACTGAGTTAACCCGTTAAATTGCGTTTGATTGATTTTTTCATTCCAGGAGTGCCATGCCTCCGCCCCAACTTCCCCAGCCAGTACCTCACCTCACGTGGCAAGGAAAACCTTGTCGTTTGGTGATACAACGACTATGGTGATTGCAAACCCCGCCCATGCACAGAGATGCATTACTTCAGATGATGAGAACGAGGTCTGTAACATTAAATGATTGACACTGTTCTGATGTACTACAAATGAACCTTTGTTAACAGACGCATCCGACAACAAAACAAAGTGACGTTGTAAAGGACACATGCTATGAGCAGAACTGGTTGATAAAACTGGTTTACTGATATACAAAATACTGTTATTTATCAGAACTGCTCAATCACTTCACTCGGACTCCAAATTGCATGACGCAGACGCCTGCATTCTCTATAACAATCAACTTAAGGAATCCTCCAGGGATGAGAGAATATTCTGAAATGAACTAGAAAGCTATTTCTGTTTCTGACTTTTAGGATTTACGGCTTGCGCCTAATTACTGGTCCCATCCACGGAAACTAAAAATCCCAAAAACTCTAGGTATGCCATACTGAACACTCTGTTGGTATGAAAAGAACCTTGAACTCGAAAGGAGGTTGAAGTCAAACCTTAACTTGAAGACTGTTCGATTTTATCTGCAACTTTAAGGTTGACGAGATGTTTCTTGGATGGTTTTGGTTGCACAAGTATTGAATAATACTGGGTTGCCCTGATTTTCTCTCTGGAATGAAAACAGATACCGAGAGAGACCCACAATTCAATGCTTGACAAAAGACAAAAGAGGTGGCCACGGTCAGGGCACAAGTTTTAACCCTTTTCTTAAAAACCATATAAATCTTTCTTGTTTTCTCGCTCAGGCAAGCGCCAAAGAAGATGACGAGTCAGTCGTTGCGAACGAGAGTGTCTCAAGATGCTGTCCCAGAAGGAGAAACTGGTCTTTATATCTTTTTTCACCGTCAAACAGGTAACGATGCATCAAACTCAAAACTGCGCCTACTAACGTGCCCACTGACACAATTTGAACTTGCAGTTACATTTTGCCGATTACTACGGTTTTCAGTTGAGTGAGACGAGACGAAAGTTTGGTAACCAAGATTTTGTTATTTTCACGGACAGCTTTGCTTTTTTTACACAGTGGCCACAGGCATTTGTTTGACGTTTGGTGACAAACGGCTCTTGAGATTCAGTTACCAACAGAAACGAGGATGGTTGCCTGTGATAGCACCTTAATTTTACGGCCGAACTACCGTCACCAAACGTTTCCGCACCCCACTCAACTTTTAATCGTACTATACAAGCTTGTGTATGACAGCCCTTTTCTGCATGTTTAGTGGAGAAAAACAAAACGGAATAAAAACAAAGAAACAAAAAATCATATGACAAGCACAATAATGCGTCTTTAATCTCGTTTCTTGGTTATAATTTCACAGACTTATCCCGTGTTAGGTCTCAGATTCTAAACAAATGCGTGATCGAGCTTATTTTCTTTGTATGTGTTTTTAGGTTTCGCCAGTGGAACATAGCCCTGTATAAGAACAAGTGGTTTGACCGGGTGATATTATTCTTCATCCTCTTGAATTGTATAGCTATGGCCCTGGAAAAACCTGGCTTGAAAAGTGACGACAAGGTAAGTTACTGATTCTTTGAAACTTTTGATATCTGCACCGACAATGTAATCCTTGGGATTTTTGATAAGTATGCCGGCGTTGCTTCCCAACGAGTTGGTTACATGCATGTAGGAAATAACTGCGTCTCATAAACCCGACCAATAATCTGAACTTTTGTGATTAGGACCTTACGAAATAAGAGGGTTCATGAAACCACTGTGGTTATGGACCAGCACATAGCTAGGAACATTGTAGGTAACAGAAGTAATCGACCGTTCAAATCAATATTTAACGCTAACTACAACAAAGAACATAACCCTCGGGTAGTTCAGACGCATTTCTGCGAAAAAGGTAGATATCAAGGTCCAAAATGAAAGACCTCAGTAAAGTCGAGAAATAATTCTGTACACAGAGTTTTTTTCCTTTTCTCATTGAACGCAACCCCAATTATAATTCTCTCACTGCAGCTGAAGAAGGCGATTGACATCTCTATGTACATTTTCCTTGGAATCTTCACTCTAGAGATGATGGTGAAGGTACGTAGAACACTTACTGTGCAAACCCCAAAACAAAAATTCAAAGATGCATGTTATCGAGTATACTTTGCAAATCGCGTTGTTATCAGTTCCGAAGACAATTCCGTCCTTCTGCAAACAGCTTCCCTCGATAGTGGAATCAGACCGTTCATATATTTGATGACTCATACCCCACTCTCTCCTCCCATCTCCACAGGTGATCGCTCTCGGTTTCTGGGTAGGTAAGGATACGTACATGCGCAATTCTTGGAATGTAATGGATGGTTTCTTAGTACTTGTGTCCTGGATTGACGTCATTGTTTCCCAGACAACCAAAACTGAAAGTTCTATTTTAGGAGTGTTACGAGTATTTCGAGCTCTCAGAACACTACGACCACTGAGGTAAGAATGTAACAACCTATCTTGCCAATCTGTTGTTGTTTTGAGTCATTATTGTCTGAACGTGATAAGTTCATTTCATGGATGTTCTTCATCATTTGAATAAAACATTGTTTATGCAATTAGCCTTACTACAACTGGATTGTATAACGATAAGTGAATACCTAGAGGTTCTATGTAAACCGCACCTATTTTGTTAAGTTCATTCTTGATGACAAAGTTTGGTTTAAGAGATTTCACTCTTTTTTTTTTTCAATTGTTTGTTCTTATAGGGTGATAAGCAGAGCGCCTGGTCTCAAGATCGTAGTAGAGACGTTAATATCTTCCTTAAAACCGATTGGAAACATTGTACTTATCGCTGCGACATTTTTCATTATCTTTGGCATCCTTGGCGTTCAGGTAATTATATTATTTACCGAACCTTATTTCTCTGAATGTGCTTGTTTTTTTTTTGTTTGTTTGTTTGTTTGTTTTTTTGCTATTTAGTGGTAAATTATGACGTTTTTCAAATAGTGGAAAGACGCCACGGTAAAGCATTGGTTCGATTTTGTTAGTAGTGTTAGGAATATGCTATCATAACTCGTGGAGAAAAAGATTCTAAAACGACTTTACGTTGCCAAAAGAGCTTGCAGCTACGAGTAGAGACAAATACATTTTGTTACTAAATAGAGATTAAGACAGCTCTAGCTAGGAAAGTTAAGCATGATTTTCACGGCCAATTGACAAAAAATAAATATTTCTAGCTGTCTTTTTCAGCTGTCTTACACAAGAGATCTTTTTTGCCGCTTTCTACAGCTCTGATTTAAGAATCATACGAAAAGCGAAAAATATCGTTGTTCATTTCTTGAGTTGCTGTTGCTATGAAAGTCCAGTGTTTATACTCACTGTTTTATTCCATGTGTTTTCGAACGAGGCAACGAAACAAAAACAAAATTTTGCAGCTTTAACGTGTTCATCGTTTGACCTGCATTCAACCAACCTTGAGATGGTTCAAATCGTATTTATGTGATCGAACTCAAACATGCGCTATTTCTGGATCACTGTCTAACCCTCTCACGTTGCCACAAGACGTTCCATAAGGATCAATTTTGGGCCCCGTCCTCTTTTCACCTTATATTAACGACTTACCCCTTTGCCTACCAACTTCTGACGTCGAAATATATGCTGATGATACAACGCTACGGATTACCGATCACTCCATTGATCATATCTAACAGAATTTGCAAGTCAGCCTAAACAATGCCAGAAATTGGTTCAAGTTATTTTAATAAACAAAATTGTACCTAACATAAAAGAAGACGAAACACCTACTCATAGCTACACGACAGAAATTGAAATACGCTAACAACCCAACCTTAGATCTTTACTTAAATGGCAACCGCCTAGAAGAAGCCAAGGATGAAAAACTCTTAGGCGTCAAGAGCCACAAGCACATTAGCTGGCACAACCAGTCGAATGCTTAATTAGGAAGCTGAACTCTAGAATTTATCTGTTAAAAAGAGCGAATGGCTACCTTGACCTCCACTACAGAAAATTGTTATTTAATGCGCTTATCAAGCCTGTCTTTGAATATTGCCGTTCGGTTTGGGGTAACGCCCCAAACGATCAACTGTTGAGAATACTTAAAGTGCAGAAACGTTGTAGTAGGTTAATATATATATCTTATTAGACGTTTTGTTGTGTAGTATCGCTGAGTATTTTTGGGAGTTATGCCGCAAATAACGAGTAAAAATACTCAGCGATACTACATAAAAAACGTCCAATAAGTTATTTATTATCCAACACGCCAAACTGTTATTTCAATGCGGGCGAATTTCGCGGATATTTATTTACGAGGAGTCGGTGACAGAAGTATGCGAAGCGGAACGGAATTGGCGCGTTGTGTTGCTGTTTCTTTTTTCTTGATTAAATGAAGAAATTTTCTGGTCGTCAAGCTGTTTTTCTTTGTTCGATTCATCTAATAAACTTGGATCTATATTTGCCAGCCATTCTGACTCTTCTCTTTACCATTTCAACTTTGTTGATATATTCAAATTATTTCGTTACCCCAACCGACGCAGCGCCAAACAGTTTCTTTAGAAACTATCAGCCTTTATTCTGACTCTTCGTCGTCAGAAATATTCTTCGCTTGCGCGATGCGAGAAAACCTGTTTAACCGGTACTCTACAATAGACGAATACAAATACCGCGTGATATTTGTACGCGTCTATGGCGTTATTTGTACTCGTCTAAGTGTAGCTGGATAATAATAGATGCTAGTTTCCACAATAACGGTTCAAATGTTCAAGAAACTACAATGGATGCCAATTGATGATGTAATACGCACGAAGAAATTGTGCATGATGTTCAAAATTGTGAACGGAGAGTGTCCGCATTATTCTACAAGATATAGAACTTATGTAAAAAACATCCATTCTTATAATACGCGAGCTTCTCTTCATGATCAGCTCGCCGTGCCGATATGTCGGTCCAACGCAGGCCTTCGAACATTTCATGCGAGTGCCACTTACTTATTGAACCGTCTGGACGACAAATTTAAATCTTTTACAGATGAAAGCAACTTTAAGAAACTTTTAGTGAACAATTTTTTACAAAGTAATTCAGATCGTGAACATTTTATTATCTCTAGAACGTTTTGAATATATTTATGTGCATGCTGTTCTTGATAATCTAGTTTTTATAATTCTTTTTAATACAGGCCACAATGTAAACTACCGGGTTACCAGAAATTGTGTTAGCTATTAAAGTTTAATTATTATTTATTGTTCACAGCTTTTCAAGGGAAAGTTCTATCACTGTAAAGACAGTGAGCACCCCACGGTGGCCACAAAAAACGATTGTCAGAAACTAGGACTCACCTGGGAGAACAAGGAATACAACTTTGATAACTTGGCGAGGGTAAGATTTATTTCGAAGATATGAGCCCGGATTTTACTTTTTAACCGGTTAATACTACAAATGAAATTACCAGTTTACGTATTTCTCCGCAACAATTTAAGGGAATTAAATGATCAAAATACGTTTGCTCATCTAATTTCAAGTTATATTCAATCAATCATGTATTGTTTCTTACAGGCGCTTTTGACATTGTTCGTATTTTCCACAAAAGACGGCTGGGTGACCATAATGTATGATGGGATAGACGCTGTCGGTGTTGACAAACAGGTAAATAACTGACCAGTTATAACACTCTGGTTGGGATGAAAAACGCGAAAATGAACTGTCAAACGATGATGCCGCCCACGATAAAATAGACTCTATTATATTCCTATCATCCCTCTTTCACTGGTAGTCAATTGGCAGTCAATTGTCAATATACTCCACCCTCTATCTCTGTTGGCGACGGTGACCGATCCCTCCCTGTGTTTTCCCTAAAAACCATGTGATCCTGCCCCCAATCCCCTCCCCCCCCCACCCACACACACACACGCACGCACCCCTCAGTGATAGACACCTGACTGGTCCGTGCTTAATAATTGACAGCTGAACAATTGTTACTTACAATGGAATTTACGTTAAGAGTTACCTTTTCCTTCTCTTACAGCCAATTCCAAACCATAACAAATGGAACGTTTTATTTTTTGTGGCGTTTCTGTTGTTGGCTGGTTTTGTAGTGCTGAACATGTTGGTTGGTGTGGTTGTGGAAAACTTTCAGAAGTGTCGCGACATGATAGAAAAAGATCGCCTGGCCGAGAAAGACAAAGAGAGGGCAGAGAAGCTCCAGTCTGGTAAGGTCTTTTGACTCTTTACTGCATGCAACTGAAACACACAACAAATCGTATTGATTGTTTATGCAGAAATTATCAATTGAGTGTTGAAAGAAGGGACTGCATTAGTTTTGCTTTACTTCGCGCCGTCATTGGTGTAGAAAACTCGCACCACTCCCTCAACCAATCAGATGTAAAACTGAAACCAATCACGACTTGGTCGCCCACGTTTTCCCACCGCGCTTTAGGCAGTTTTCTTGTTTTTACTTAAGAGTTCTTTGAAAGGTTTTTCGCTCTCCCCTGATAGGCAATTGTAATTAATTTGGTTTTGGGAGTACAACACTTAATCGAAAACGTTCTATGAACACTAATCATTGCAAATGTAGATTTTGTCTCTCTTCACGGAGAGCATGTGCACTGATGCCTATATTTTCTCACATGCAGAGGCTGATAGAGATGAAGCGGAAGAGTTTCCACAGCCTCGACGGTTTTTTCACCAAATCTGCACTCATGGCTACTTCGACCTTGGTATTTCGGCTGTCATATTCCTGAATGTCATCTGTATGGCCATGGAGCACTACAGACAACCCGAAGTGAGTCAAGCTTTTATCAGGTTTTTTTACTGTAACTGTTTAATTTTGATTCACTGATCGGCTTTTGAGTCCATATCTATCCTTCACCTCCACTTGGCAATTTTTTTTTAATCTATCGAGGATAATGGCCTTTTGCTCAAGCCAACGGCCTGTCTAATCCACTGAGGGAAGCTGAGTTTTATTTTAAGGTCTGTGAAGTTCTCTTGCATCCCCAATCATGACTGTGGATGCCAATAAGCACTGCTTTAGAATAATGTTTTGTTCATAAACAGCACAGTACAAAGAAAACGCAAGAACCAGAATTCATGATCAAGTCACCTTACTTTTGTCAAGTTCCCTTTGAGCTAACGTTTACAACTTAATTGTATGACAAACTCGTACTCTACGTTTCCAACTAAAAAGCAGTCTACCCTTTTCTGGGTGACCGTTACAACATGTTGCACAAATGTAACGACGGTAATAAAACAAGTTTTTTAATTTAGCTGTATGTTCAACTCAAATAATTCTATGCTAATCTGGACGTTTTCCTCTAGGAAATGACATTGTTTCTTCGATACGCAAACTATGTGTTTACAGCCATTTTTATCGTGGAGGGCGTTTTGAAGATTTATGCGCTAGGGTTCAAGAAGTACATCAAAGAACGGTATAATCACACTTTAGTGTTATGTTCTGCGCTTTTGCTGTATTTTCTTTCAAGTTTATCTCAATAACGAATGAAAGTGAACTACGTTTCTTGTTCTCAACAGGTGGAACCAGCTGGACTTGCTTATTATTCTTTTGTCAATTGTCGGAATTGTCCTGGAAGAAATGAAATCTAAGCTGCCAATCAACCCGACTATCATTCGCGTCATGAGAGTGCTCAGAATTGCACGAGGTAAGCATGGTTGTGGCCTTATTTGTGCATCCACCCTCCCACAACATGTCTTACACTTACCTCGAATTTCGGTGATTGTGAGTAACAGCTGCCCTCTACTGACTGTTGGCCGACTGTTGGCCGACAGATAACCGACAGGCCACCGACGGACCATTGATAGGCCACCGACACACTAAATATAGCTAGAACTTCAGCAAATACGTCCTCCAGTATCCAATGTAGCGTTTACGTCCATTAAAGAACAGTAATACGTTGGTATTGTTATCGAAAACTTGGCGACAGATTACCAACTGTCTGCCGAGAGGTGAGCTGAAAACTGTCAACCGACGAGTCTTTTTAGGGTGTCGTTCTCTTCAATTGCACGAATTTCTACACAACCGCATTGGCTCTATATTGCTATGATTGTTGTTGTTTTTTTAGGAAATAAATGTTATCTATATTTCTAGTGTGCATGATACCTCTCGTTTAGAGAGCTAAAGGTCACAATGATCTTTACGTTTTCTAACTTAATTTCTCTTTGACTACAGTTCTGAAGCTGTTGAAGACTGCTGAAGGAATCCGAAAGCTGCTGGATACAGTCGCCGAGGCCCTACCCCAAGTAAGTGATGTTAAAAGTAAACATTTGGGCAGCATAGAGCTTTTAGTATTTTGTTTGAATACTGGGTAAACCGACAGGTATGTATCACAGTATCACAACACAACAGGATGTAAAACTATAGAACTAGTGTTTACCAGTCACTACATTAGGTTTTAAATTTGGTCAGTTCCACGGTTCTTGACCTCGGGAATCTTCCATATCCATATGACATATCTATTGGCGTTTTGCAAATGACGGTGTGTCGGATTTTCAACGTTGGTTTTTCCTCAGTAAGGTTTTTCTTTAATTTTAGTTATAGAAGGCTCAGCCCAGATTTTCAATAATGTGGGATCGGTGATTATTATATATATCGTGCCGTCATTAGACAGATAGGGGTATGTCTAGCTGTTTTATTATCATCACACAAGCAGAGATTACACCCTTATCCCTCTGCCCTACCCTGGAAACGCCCTTATATAAAAGAAGCCACAAACTGCATACGCCTTCGGCGTAATGTTGCAAAATCAAATGATGCACACATAATGATATGTTCTTTTTCAATTGTAATGCAGGTTGGCAACCTCGGTCTTCTCTTTCTTCTAATGTTTTTCATCTTTGCTGCTTTGGGAATGGAGCTGTTTGGTCAAGTTGGTACGTTCTGGATGCATTTTGTTTGTCATTTTGGTGTTGCACTTGGAAAATTGTCTCTTAGGTTACATGTAGTATCTTCCTATCGACGCCCACTTAAAATTACTCTAATTCCCTTAATTTTTTTTGATTAGCTGATGTGCTTTTGTTGATTCAAAATCAAGGTCTCTTAACGACTCACATCACTTCACCATAGGGCCATTATGTTTATTTTCTAGGGTGGAACTTGTTTTACGGAGCCTAGAGTTTCAAAAGGAGGGTAAAGCTATCCAACAGATAAATGGTCATCTAATGCACAGGTGTTAACTAAACACACTGCGCTATCCGCCGGATAGAGATTTATGTCATGGATAGCGTTATTCATCTTTCGAACAACGTGGGCCTAAAAAATAACATGTCTTTTTTTCTTCCAAGAATGCACGGACGAAGTACCATGCGAGGGACTGGACCATCATGCTCATTTCAAGGATTTTGGTTTTTCAATGTTGACACTGTTCCGAGTGTCAACCGGAGACAACTGGAATGGAATTCTGAAGGTATCGAAAAAATGTTGACAACAGTTTTACTGATATCGTCTCGTTCTTCTTCTTCGTTATCATATGTTGTCATTGCCATTATATTTATCATTTTCAGTAGCATCATCTTCAAATTCATTTTCGTTATTGTCATGGTTAGAAGTCGTTCCAGAGGTGCTTGCAAATATTCGAATGAGTATAAAGGAAATTGCAAATTTACAGTTGCTTCGCGTTCGATCACGAAACGTATTAAAAATAACTAGGGAAACATGAAGTAAACTCTTGATGTTGTTATTGATCGATGATATCTAGTGATAAATAAATATGAGGTTGATTTCTTTTTTTTTTCTTCCATTACCAGGACATAATTAACAAAAAGCGTTGTGAACTAAATTCTACTTCAGGCTGCGCTGCATTGGAACACATCGCTCCCATCTACTTCGCCATATTCGTCCTGGCGACACAGTTCGTCCTTCTGAACGTAGTGGTAGCTGTCCTGATGAAGCACTTGGAGGATGCCAAGGAAGAAAGTCCTACAGCGTCGTCTGAAGAAGGATCAGATGATGTGCTGGCAATTCAAGTGGATAGAGTCTCGGATCCCAAACATATGCAGGGGGGATCGTCCAAAGATCACGAGTATTGTATGGTTCCTTCCGGCGTTAAAGGGAAGACAGAGTCGAACAATAACCCTTTGGTTGTAGTTCCTGTCGTTGGCGTTGTAAGGCAGACGAATGGCTCCGATAGTAGCTTAAGTTCTATTGGCCCTGTTCAACCTGAAGGTGCAAGCAGCTATTGGCTTCCAGCAATCGATCAAGCAAAACCCGAGCATAACAAGAGCCTCGCTTCAATACGACTCCCACCGATCGGAAAGAGTTCGGATAAAATCGACGATTCATCGCTGTCTGAGATGTCGAGCCCCGAGAACGACAAACCCATCAGCAAAAGGCTAGATGGTCAGATATCTCCACGGGCTCCCATCTACGTCATGAGTGAGGACAGCGACCTGAACGATAGTAACATGGAAGTCGATCACGATCACAGCAAAGTGTTTAGACCGGTGGAAACATCCACCAAATCGAAAGGATCTGTGCGTTCACCTTCACCTCAATCAAGCAGCGAGGATGAAGGAAAAAATACGAAAATTCATCTCAGAAAGTCTCACTACAAATCAGAATCTCCAAGAGGGAAGACTCGCCAAAAACAGCCTAAAACGTCCATCGTATCACCCAAACCGGATGGTAAACCAGTAACACCTGGAGCTAAACCGGTCAAACCTGATGCTCGGTGGGCATCTCCAGTAATAAATGTAGAGAAAGGCAAAGAAACAATCAAACTGGATAGTCCTAAACATGACGAAAATAAGGGAACTGATTATCAAATGCAAAGCTATGTGTGATATACTTTTGTCAAACTAATTAAAGATAAAAATGACAGAAATTCAATTTGAAACACTGAAGGCGAAAAGAGTTGCGATAATTTCGTTTTCCTTTTGCTGCAGGACTGCGGTTTAAAAATATTCAAACCAGCACTGACATTTTCGGCCGAAAGCTATAGCATTTCAGGACTTGTTCGCCCGTTTAGAATGAGTGTATTCTAATGGACGATCAAACTTAGCACTTCAAAACATTCTCGATACAAGAGACATGAAATATACAAGTAAAAATTGGTACAGAATGGTGTAGAAGTTTTATTTTTGCAGCTGTTGGTCGATCGGCGTAAATAAAATCAGCTCTCACGTGTAAAAAGAAATCAAAACTAGACAATATCCCTGTCTCTTGACCGGGTCGAGTAAGATATGTAAGGAAATATATAGAAGGTTATGGTTTGTCGAAATTCTTTGATCCACGAGATATGGTTTTTAAAACAGAATAAAACATTGGAAATGTTTACGGTCATTATTTCTTTCTCTTCCTCTCAATCCCTCTTCCTCTTCATCCCAATAATATTTCATTAATTGGGAACATAATGGTGGAGTGAGAAGATGAACTAAAGCCAACTGAGAAAGGAATCTCCCTTTCCCGTGAATACGACTGTTTATCAAACGGCCCTGGGCCCGCGCTTTCATTGAGAACCACGGACAAAAATCCTCGCACCAAAATCATAAGCGATGGCTCGAGCAGAACCGTACTAGGCTGTATGGCCTTGCGAGCAACGAACTAGAAGAAGAACGGAGGAAAAAGAAGGAAGGACAGTCCATATGATAAATGCTTACTGACTGAGTTAAAGTCGGGACAACCAGGAAAATATTTGGCCCTCGGTCGTGATACACGGACCTCACTGAGCCCGGTCCATATGCCATGATCTTGAGCCAAACAGTTCTCTTGACTGGGCCTCGCACTCAGTCAAAAGTACATAATAATGCGCATAAGGGCCGACATCTCATCACAAAAACTCCTCCATCCTGTTGAATAACAATTTCTTTTATTCAATTTAACACCCACGTCTGTTGATAACAAACATGTTGACATGCATTCCCAAGAAAAATATTTGCCATAAGTATAATTTATAAGTACGTTTCATTCAAATTAAAGCCGGTCCTGTCATGACAAGTTCAGAGTCTGTTACGAAATTTGACAAGTATTTTACTTGTGTTTGGAGTATTTAAAATATTTAAGACTTTAAATAATAACAGACGGGCACTGTTATCTAAAAATAAAAATCCCTGTTAAGGCAGCACAGTTGATTTATGACAAGCAGAAATATTTTAAAACAAACTTTTGATTGTAAGACTTGTTTCAGTTTAAAGCAACGTTAACTGAAGTGCGCGATCTGACTGATAACAGATCATTTAAATATCTTGTTTCTACAGTCTGCGAATTAATTGTAAAATACGGCAGAGGAAAAAACTCTAATTTTCAAAATGGCCTCTACCGGATTTCTTGATGTTTCTCAAGATGAAACAAATTAAATAAACGAATATTCAGTTTCTATGACATCCACTCGAGTTATTTTATTATAACAATTACTTTCCCTGTGGCTTGTTGAATTTTGTGCTCAATATTCACTTCGCCTCAGCCAAGTAATTGCAAATTAATCAGTTTTAGATTTTTAGCTGACGAGCTAACACTTCATTATTATCTTAGGTTTTTGTTCCTTTCTATTGCCAAAACAGGTCATTAAAATTAAAACGGTGTGGTTGAGTTGTCCGCTGAACAAGAGCAACGCGGATGTAGTGTAGTCAGACCTTTCTCCGGAAATTTCGGAGAAGAACAACGTCATCTGATGCAGTAATTTCTAGACCGAGACATGAACAAGTTAAATTTTTCGTCAGCAGTTAAACGCTTTTCATACATATGAGTTTTTCATAATCCATAAGCGTAATAATCTCGACTGATTTTAACTGAGTAACTTTTCCAAATCTCTGCAAAGTTCATCCACGTCAGAAGATCTTCCTTTGTATTTGCCAACATTTACTCCCATGACACTTAGAAGGCCAGCCACCTGCAAAAAACCACAGTCATATTTTCTCAGGTAGTCAAGAAATTCCTTAAGATACCAAAAAAGTACATATGAATAACTTCGAAACATCATTAGACCCAAAAAAAAAACACTTTTAAAACAACGGCAACATTCCCAAATTACCTCTGAATTGTAATCCATAAATCTTCTCAAAGCGTACAAACAATTATGTTCTGAAAACAAACAACAGTGAGCCTTAGTGAGTAATGACACTTCACAAACTTCTAACTGAGACGGGGACGAGTAAAAATAAAAACTTTGTCGAACAAATACGTTCTTTGTTTACTAGAAAATGAACGGAAGTTACAAACGGTCATGAAAATGAGCAGTGAAGAACTTTATCAGTGGTCATGTCATTTTGCGCTGCATTTCTCCTTTTTTCTTTTTCTTTTCTAATTTGTTTCTGCTTAACATTGGTTTTTCGCATTAATGAGCAAATGAGAAAATGGTCATTACGCATCGACTTGAACGAGAAATTGATACAGTTCGGTGACGAACATGATGCTAAGAACTAACTCCCTCCATAGACCTGACCTGTCTCTGGACAAACATTTCTGGTTAAGAGTTCAATAACGGCTGTAGAACACTCCAACGCGATGTCTTCATGTATCTGATAAATGAATAAACCAATAATAAAGAAAAATCAATTATGATTGATTCAAATATAAGGCGGTTACAGACTGTAATGAAAAAAGAGGTACTCAATGCATACATGTGTCTGCTGCAATATGTTAATTATGATGATATGAATAAGCGAAACTAATGAACGACAAAGAGAATGGACAAAGAACAATTCAAAAGGCAACTATTTAAGTCACTAAAAACATAACAATATGTCAACGGTTGTCTATGCTCAGCTTTTTTTTAGGCTTTCATTACGCTGGCTATTCTTGGTGTAAACAGAGTTAATAGATTAACTCTGTTAACTCTGGTGTAAATTTCCTAAATTTGCCAAGCTGACCAAAATGGTTGCAGCTTGGAGTTCTGGCCACAACCAAAAAAGATAAGATACACAATGAAAAGGTACCTTAAGTCTTGCGATATTGGAAACTAAAGCAGCTCCGACTGTTTGGAGTTCTGAATCTTTGCTAAGGAGACAGTTGATTGTCACAGCAGGGAGTGATGTTGAGTGACTGTCACCAAGCAAGGAGGAGTGGCCAGGCTGATGGCTGATGGCACAGCAGAACTGCCAGGAAAGATAATATGTATCATCAAGTCAGTAAAAAATAATTCAAAACAAAACTATGGTTAATGCTATCGTGTTCATAATAAAGATAATAATTTCATTATCAATTTTTTTTGGTATTAAGATGTACACTTAGTAGGTATAGCAAAGTTGCAATTATAATGATAGCTAATAAATAAAAATTCAATATATAAAAAATAATCAGACTTTATATTGTCTAATTAAAGACTTGGACAAGTTAACTCTTTAACTCTCAAGATCTGATTATGAAGTCTCCCCTCTAGCTGCCACACATTTCCTTGCAAATTGGTTATGAGAATTTGGTGTTCAATCGATGTACATGTAACAACTTTTATCTGATAAGTTTGAGTATTCTCAGTAACTGTTTGCTGGATAATGTATGGATATTATGAGGAAAAGTTACATGTTCATCACTTCTAGGAGTTTGAGGGTTAATTTGATTGAGAGAATGTTTCATTTACCAATTTGATGCACTCAACTTGAGTTGAACAAGATGAAATGCTGGGGAATCTCCCACATGTCTTTTTCACAGTCTCCTGAAGCCCTGTTCTCAAGGAAACATAGGTAATGTTAATTTTGTGGACTGTACATGTGTACAGATTTCTAAATAAAAGGAAACATTTTGAAAGTGCTACAAATTCTCTTCCACTTACAGATACATTTTGATTTAATTAAGCTAGCAGGAGGTACAGGTTTGCTTGATACCATAATGAGAGAATAATTGGAAAAGAAAAAAAAAACAAAAAAATGAAAGCACAAGAATATGGAATGGTTGTTAGTTATCATAATAATCATCATGATGATTTTTTGACAATTATCTCACCTTTAGAGGAAGAAAACAATTTTTCACACAATGATAGCAACTGCAAAAGTTTTAAAGTCAGAAGTGGAACCTGGCTGCCTTCCTCTGTCAAGTATTTATTAACAAGCTGATCTGAATAAAAAAAAAGTCCAATAGGCAAGTGTATCATTCATTCATTCAGATACTGTAAATCACCTGTATAAGTCCCCCCTCTACTGAGCCACCCCCCTGTAATAAGCCCCCCCTCTTTAGAGGAAGAAATTTATTAAGCCCCCCTATTAAGCTCTTCCCACCTCCCCCTCAAAAAACAGAAATTCAAAATAACACTCCATGTCAGTAAGTACAATAAATTTTTTCAAGTTCTATTATATTAATTAATTTCAGTTTGTCATTTAAAATTGATTATGGTGACTGATTGATTGAGGTTATCGGGTTGACATCAAAAGAATATGGTATAAGAAAATTACAAAGCGATGCTAAAGATATAACATGGCTAAACAAGGTCTACTGAGAGAGCTAGATCATAAAATTGTTAGATGCTTCAGACTTCTAGCTTCATGTGCTTAAGTTTTTCCATGCTAAATTTATTTAATAAGTTTCCTCCCCCTCTATTAAGCCCCTGGGCACCTCTAATAAGCCACCAAATCCCCCCCCCCCAAGTACCTGGAATTGATAAGCCCCCAGGGGGGCTTAATAGAGGATTTACAGTATCTGAACATACAAAAATGCAAGAAACACTACAAATAGCTTTGCCTAATAAAGTGAAAACCTTTTATCTAACCAAGAAATGTTTATCAGTAATGGAAAGAAAATAAGGATCTGTTTATTGTTGCAGCCTGGTTTAATTCCATAGGGAAATCTAACACAAAATACAACTTACCTAATTTTTGAATGTGGCTTTCATTCACTTCTGAAAGGATTTTTGATGCAAAGCATACTTTAAGTTCATCAAGGTAAATAAGATCCTCATCTGACGATTCCATTTTTTGCAAGCACTCTCTCAGATCGGATATCAGTGATGGTCCCTTTGAAGACAACAAAATATTTAATATAAAATAACCAGAGCAATAATTTCAATATTCAAAAAACTATTCAAGAAACTATCTAATAACTTATAATGGTGCCAAGCTTGTGAACAAAATTCTCCATCAACACAAACACCATTTCAAGACTTACATCAACATCCTTATATACATTAGGATTCCTCAATATGGAGCTTTCACTAGAGTTTGAACAAAAACAAAAATAAATAAGTTAGTTTGCATCTGAAACTTGAACTGGTCTTATTCCACATTAAAGTGGTAACTATCAATCATTAACAATAAAATAAGGTAACTGTAAATTTTGTTAATAGAATAAAAAGGTTTTGAGCTGAAGTTTTAAATACTGGTGTACATTGTATTATACATATGGGTATACATAACTATATACAGTCTTCATAGATATATTATTTTTTAATCATCTTTGTCCAGTGTAATTTAAAACACCAATTACCAGCCATTGGAGGGTTTCCTTGGCCCACTCTTTCCAAGAGGACTATTTCTTGGCTCAAATATTGATTCTGGTGCTCATGATGTTGCTGCTGTCTGTGTAGGTGATACTGATGTTCCTCTGGATGGCCTCACAGATACAGAGTCTATCATGGGTCTTATCATCTGACCAAATGAACTGAAAAATTTCACTTCAAACTTATTTAAGGATCATCTAAAATTCAGGGGTTTTTCTTAGAGAATAGTCTTAACTTACATGACCAAACTGTAGCGACTGCGAAAAACAGAGGATAATCTGGGTGGGTTTAATACACCCTCAACAGTCATTAACCTAATCCCACTATTAAATTTAACACTTCTTCATCTACATTTGTTCACCCTTCCTCCATGCCCTAGTCTTTATATTCAACTTCTTAGATCTTCACCACTTGAACTTATTCAAACACATTAGGCTGCTTCATATCATCAAAATCAAC